TATTTTTGAATTATTAATTAGTTATGACTAAATCTATAAAATTACCTAAAAACACTCCTCACATATAATAAAATTTTATTTAATGTGTTTGGTTTCAGTTTTCTGAATTCAATTTTTTGAAAATTAAGTTTTTTATTTTTTTGTTTTTAGTGAATATTTTTTAAATTTTAAGCAATTTTTTTTTTAGATGTACCTTACTTAGATCTATCTAAATAGTAAATTATTTATGAAAAATATTTTAAAAAATTAATAAATGCACAAAAATATGAAAATGTACTGAATTTTTGTATTTTTTTTATAGTTATATTTTTGGTATTTAGTGAATTTTTTAAAGATTTTTTTCACAAATATTATACTTTCTAAGTGCATTTATGTTAGATGTATCTAAAATTTTAAAAAAATTGCTTAAAATATTAAAAAACTTCAGTGAAAACAAAAAAAATATGAAAAACGAAAAGTAAAATTTTCTGAAAAGTAAATTCTAAAAACGAATAGAGTGATTAGTTTTGTAAAATGGAGGGTAAAATGGTAATTTAGGCCTGGTTTGGCATACCAGAAAAAATTTAAAAAGTCAAAAAGTTACTAAAAAAGTTATTACTATCCACAAATTAAAAATATAAAAAAATTAATTTACACAATATTTTAATACAAACCAATGAGTTGTCAGTGCTGGTACTGAATTGATGGTTCATAAGTATGTATTGGTATGTCAAAGGAACAAAAAAGAAAATTAGATATATATATTCATTAAGTTGGAGGGTAATGTTGGGCCCATGGAGGCGCACCACGGGTCCCGTTTTGATAATTCGAACCATTCAATGTGTAGACCTCGTCGAGTATTATATGTCTGTAAAAAATCACATTGATTAGATATGGATAACTATATGATCAAATCAGATTTTTTTTCAGCCGTTTATTTTTCACCGTTCATTAATTTCATACAAGACTGTTTTGATCACATAACTATCGATATCCGATTAAAGTAATTTTTCATTAGCATATAGTACTCAACGAGTTCTACACATTGACGGTTCAAATTATCGAAACGGGACCCGTGGTGGGCCCCCACGGGCCAACAGTACCCATGAAGCCTCATACACCATTTCAACCAAGCCGTACTATCCTCCTGCCGCCTTTCACTGATAAGTCTACAATGTAGTGGTAAAAACATAATTTTTTCATTTTATACAATATTTTAATACACATTTTTTCGTAAAAAGACAAAAAGTTATTCCAAACAACCATATTTTTTTCCTCAACTTTTTAGTCTAAAAAGTCAAAAAGTGTACTTATTTAAGACACCCCAAACAACCCCTTAGTTAGCAAATTGTGTGAGGGGATTACTTATCCCAACTCTCCCATGGGAATGCTAATTCCACTATAAGAGGAGATTTATACTCCCATGAGATTAGCAATCCCATGAAATTTTGTTGTATACAAACATGAGTTTGGTGGTTCTCATGGATGGGTAATCCAATCCCCTCTCCCAAACCCCAATCAAACATGGCCTTAAGGTGTTTGTAACTTAAGTAGGTTGGGATTTACTTTCCCTAAGATAATTTAACAATTAATAATTAATTTTAGCTGATAAAATAATGTATATATATATATATAAAATAAGACAGAAGTCTTTTTAAATTTATCCTACACACATTTGTCATACTAGAACATTTGAACAGTTAGGATTCATTTCTGCTTGAGGATGGACGGTAACTCTACCTCAACTTCCCGCCCAGGAGCCACACTTCAAAAATAAACCTAAAACTTTGCAACCACTCATCTCTGTCTCACGTTAAGATCCTCTAGAGTGGATTCCTAGAGTGATCTCCTACAGTGAGCCATCCATGGCCGATACGTGTCCCACACGGCTGCCAAGGGCTGAGATTCAGCCTCACCAAAACGACATCGTTTTGGTGAGTAATTTGAAAAAAAAAAAAAATCAGCTTTATCTCTCTCTCTCTCTCTACAGTGAGCCATCAGTGAGTAATTTGAAAAAAATCACCATCTGATCTTCCAATTGCGATGCTTATTGATGGAGAAGAATTACTCATATCAGATTATATAAACAGTTATATTGCAAAAGTTGACTCAGTTCATACACAGCTGTATTCCAAAAACTGTACATTTCAAAACAAAATCAAAAACAAAAAAAATCAAAACCCTAGAAATAGATTTCAAAAAAATCATGTAAGAATCTCTCAATCAACACATTCAACAGCCAACAAACTTATATTACCATTAACATTAAAAAAAAACCTGAAATTTATCAAATCGAAACCCAAATATTGGAGAAATTTTGGAGCCGTTGGCGGCGGCAAGACGACAGTGGTGATGGTGAGGTGTCGGGAGGGAGCATAGGCTCTCGCTTCTTCTCTCTCTCTCTCTCTTTCTTTCTTACTCTATTTTGTATATCTGCGGCGATGTGAAGTGAAAATCAAGAAGGGGTTGGCCATGGAGAAAAGAGAAAACAGAGAGAGTGTAAAAAGAAAAGTAAAGAAAGAGAGTGAGAGAGAGAGAAAGTTGATTTTTTTTTTCTTTCAAATTACTCACCAAAACGACATTGTTTTAGTGAGACTAAATCTCAATCCTTAGCAGCAGAGTGGGACACGTGTCAGCCATGGATGGCTCGCTGTAGGAGATCACTCTAGGAATCTACTCTAGAGGATCATAATGTGATCTGTCTCATCTACTCTCTATAGAAGAGAGACCCACGCTCATTGAACTCTTTCTATAAACTCTCTTCTGTTTGTCTTTTAATCTTATTTACCAATTTTCAAATTTTAAAACACCCACTCCTCTCTCTCTCTTAGCCTTACTTCCTACCGTAACACCGGTACATCTCTCTCTGACTGTGATACATCTCTTTCCGACGACTCTCTTGTGACCCAGCCACCGCACAACGCCATTTCCTCTAGCCATCTCCGCCGTTACTACTCATCACCACTGCCGCCACTCATCATCGCCATTGCCATCGCCATCGCCATCGCCATCGCTATCGCCATGGATGGATCGACATCAGGCTACTGTCATAAAGAGTTTGTTATTTGATCACCACTATGATTTGGATATGCGAAGCTTAGGGAAGGCCCGATCCCTGAAGATGTTGCGGCTGTGAAGCCTGATCAGTCACAGGATAAGAACTTCGATTATATCCTAATTTGGTCATACATGCCAAGTAAAGGGCAAAAAATGAGACCTTAAACACCTACCTCTTGCTGCAAAGGTTGCATCTTCTCGATTATATCCCGATTTTAATCACTTGTAAGTAAATTAATATATCATACATGTGTCCACTTCACTTCCACAACATTTGCAATTTGATCCAATTGAGAGGAGAGAAACCAACGTTTTTGGAGAGAGAAGAGACGAGAGAGAGAAAGTAAAGTAGATGTATCTCATAGGTGAGAGAGAATGAGTGGTGGAAGATGGAGGAGAGAGAATGAGTAAGGAATTGATGGACAACCTATGTAGGTTCAGTGTTTCTAACCCTTAAATTGATATGTTTGGGTTTTTTTATTTTTTATAGAGATTTGTTTATTTTATTTTATTATGTAGCTTATGGATTTGGATTTAATTTTTTACAAAGTTTTGGGTCTGAAATAATACTTGATCTTCATAAAATAGGTTTTGATTTTAGAAATGTATTTTTAGTTTCAGTTTGATTTATGAAATGGATTTAATTTCTTAATGGAAAATGAGTATTGATTTTTTATGGTTTTGAATTTTTTTTTGAAATGGGTGTTGATTTCCTATGGTTTAACATAATCAAATCAAAAATTTGAGATAAAATAATTATAGAGTGTTTTTTTTTTCAACATATTTTTTTATTTCTATTAAAAACACGCGTAGTCTCTAATTAAAAAGTGAGAGTGAGTTAGAAAAAGAGACCAATCTGAGACAAAATAAATAATTGAAAATAGGAGTGTAATTGGCAATAGGAGTGTGGTCTCTAAAAAAATTAATGAAGCCATGTAGAATTATAGGAGGTGTTTTGGAGGATGGTTAATTTGGTAAGTTATTTTAATTTTTTTGTTAGTTTAATAGGTTAAAATAATTATGTTTAGCAAGATTGTTGAATTTTTTTATAATTAGATTTGATGTATATGAGAAAAAAATGTAAAATGATTATGAATTTGATATTATTTCAACTTATTTTATTTTTTAATATTATTTTAATCAAAAAAAATATTTAAATACATATGACTCAAAAAAATGTTTGAGGTGACATTGTTCAAATACATTATAGCTATTTTATTTTTTTTTGGATAAATACACTAAAGTTTATATATGACTCAATTCAACTACATTTTAAAAATTTAAAAATATGTTAACACACCTTTGTTCAATACTGTCTTAGTCACTATTTCAAATTCTATACTTTTTTTAGATGGTGAAATTCTATAAAAAGTTCAATAAAAACTTCAAATACAAATTAATATCGCGACCGGCGGTGGGGTTGCCGTAGATGGTGGCGGAAGTCTTATGTGTGGAGTTTTATATTGTAGTGAAATTATTATCATCTTGAATTGATTAATTATAATTGATTTCTGTAGCAGTAAAATCATTATCATTTTGAATTGATTTTTTGTAAAAGATATGATACCAATATTAATAATTTATGTTAATTGATTTTTGTAGAATATGTGTTCCAATATTATTTACACCGTGTCTTTAGGCATGAGTATACACTAGTATATATATAAGGTGTAATTATATAAATTATTTGAAAGCTTAAATATTTTTTAAATTTTTTTAAAACTTTTATATTTTTTTGTCATTACTTTGGCACGGTCATTAATTGAAAAGGTGAATAAACAATTTTTTGTAACAATTGACCTGATTGAAGTCATTGAGCACTCGAATAAGTGCTCTTGAAGATTATAGCAAATGGGTCGAGGAGTTGGATCCCCATTGTGAAGCGAAGATGGGGGCAAGGATCAAGGAGAGTGGATAATCATCCAGGTATGTACACACTGTTTGTGGATAACCTGCCACAAAGTATGGATCCTAAGGGCCTGTTCAACCTGTTTAAGAAGTTTGGAGTGGTGAATGATGTATTCATTCCACACAAGAGAAGAAGAATAACTGCTTCCAGATTTGGTTTTGTGAGATTTAGTTGTCAAGTAGCAGCAAATGTCGCAATGCAAAAAGCTAATGGTTTGTGGGTGGATGGCAAGGTACTAGTGGTAAAAAGTACTGACTTTGATAGGGAGAGGCAAGAGAAAGGCTATACACAACCATAAGTAAAGAGACAAGGAGTACAAGGGCCACAATGGCGTGACTCAGGTAAAGGCATGAATCAGTATGTGGGTCAGAGATCGTATGTGCAGGTAGTAAAATTGGGGAATACTGGTGAAATGGGGGCTGTTACAGTAAAGGTTGAGAAAATAGGCAATGGATGGCTATATGAGAGTTTGATTCTATGTTTGAGGGCGAAGTATACAACTGTCAACATGAAGATGGAGCTTGAAGCTAGAGGAACGAAGGATGCTGTGGTGAGGAAGGGTGGAGGACGGGACTTGATATTGTCTTTCAATTCAAACGAGGAGATGAAATTAAAAATGAAAGATGTAAAGGAGATATTTGGGGACTGGTGTGAAGAGGTAGTCACAAGAGATGCAGGGAAAGTGCTAGAATAAGAACGATGTGTGTGGTTAAGTTGCTATGGAATCCCCTTAAATTTGTGGAATAGAACCAATCTACATAGGATTGAGAATTTATGGGGGGAGATTATCTGCACTGAAGAAGAGTTAAGCCAGGCACAATTGTTCAACTGTGGAAAGATGATCTCCACTAAATGCATGGAGCCAATAATTAAGATGATAAATATGGAGCGTAAAGGAGTGCTCTACCCAGTTCGAGTTTGTGAAGAATTGAGGGTAGTTGTGCAAACAATTAAAAAGACCTGTGTCTATAAGAAGCATATGCACTTGGATGATGTTTACAGTACAAATGAACAGGTAGGTAAGTCTATGGAGGAAAGAAGCAGAGAAGGTGAAGATGATGATGATCGGGCAGCTGAGTTAGCCAAGGTGGTTGGAAGAAATGATAGCATGGCAACATGGGACATGTCAAATGGACCACCAAACAGAGTTGAGGTGGAATAAGAGGTGCACGGGAGGAGTGAAACAGTAGTTGCAGCGTCTAGTGGAAGAGTGGGGCAGGAGCTCGAGACGACAGTGGTTGAGCCGAATTATGGCTGTGCAGAACAGTGTCAGAATGGTGATGACCAAATGTTCACGCCTGGTTTTATGAAAAGCTTAAGTGGGTCTACTTTGCTTCGGCCTGGGGTGAATCTAGAAGTGTAGTTGGATCTGAATCGGGGGCCTAATGTTTTAGGTGGGCTTCATTCTCCACAAAATGGGCTTAGTGAGCTAAGTGGGTTAAAAGCCCAAATAAATAATAGCAAGAGTGATGCAAATATAAGGCTGAAAGGGAAGAAGAAATGGAGTAAAAAGACCCACCGTCGGCAGCAACCTCAAAGAAGGGTTTTTTTTTTTTTTAAAAAAAAAAAATCTTGTGAGGAGATATGGACATAAGGGTGCTTCAACAAGTAAACTAGCTCCAAAACATGTCTTGTTGAGAGCAACAACTATAGAAGCCTCACTATCGACATCTATTAAAAAGGGGAATGATGGAGAAACAAGAATCCTTAATGAAACTGAAGCAACAGTACAGTTGGGTAAAATATTAGGTTTGGAGTATAATGGAACAGAAGAGGAAGTTCTTAGCAAAATAGTGGAACTGGAAAAGAAGGATAAGAAGAAGCTTGTGGGGGATAATGGGGCAACTACATAGGGTGTTTGTGGAGGTGGGATTTCATTAGAGCCTTATAATGTTTCCTTATGAAGATACTGATTTGGAATATTAGAGGAATTGAAAGGCAAGAGAAGAGGGGAAAGATACGAAAGTGGGTGAAGGACAGAAATATTGATATAATGTTGATTCAAGAAACAAAAAAGTTACTATTACAGACAAAGAAGTTAGAGAAATGTAGGTGAGGACTAGAATGGAGTTCATGTCAGTGGATTCTGAAGGTACAGTTGGAGGATTGTTATGCATATAGGACCCTGAGGTATTTTAACTTGGTGCTTGCTGTAGTAGTAAAAGGTTCACACTCTTATTAGGTACATTATTTAATTTTTTTGAGTGTGTTTTACTGAATATCTATGCACCGAATGATGTGGGCGGTACAAGAAAGCTTTGGGATAGTTTGCTTAATCTGAAACAAGGATTTCCTAAACCATGGTGTTTGTGTAGGGATTTTAATGAAATTAGACATATAGGTGAGAGGAAAGGCTGCTCCAGAAGAGAGAGAGGTATAACTGAGCTCAATGAGTTCATTGAGAATAGTGAAGTACAAGACCTACCTTTATTAGGAAGAAAGTTCACATGGTGTAATTCTAGGGAATGGGAGAAATGAACTAGGATAGATAGGGTGTTGGTGGACCCAAGATGGCTGAAGGGTTTTCAACTAAAATTATGGAGATTACCTAGGCTCATTTCAGATCACAGTCCACTACTCTTGATGGAAGATAAAAGGGATTGGGGACCAAAGCTGTTCCGGTTTCTAAATGCTTGGTGTCTACATCCAAATTTCTCCTCTTTTGTGGTTAAAGTTTGGAAGGAGTCAGAGACTAATGGTTGGGCAGGATTCATATTACAGAAAAAGTTAAAGGATTTGAAACTGGCACTTCGGCAATGGAATAAGGAGGTGTATGAGTCTGTGCCTAACAAATTGAAAGCAGTAGAGGAGGAAGTTCATAACCTTGACCTTCAAGCAGAGAATAGAGAGCTGGACCAGCAGGAGAAAGCTAGAAGAAGAGCAGCTAGTGAAGGGGTATGAAGACTTCATAGAATGATGGAATGGACGTGGTTACAAAAATCAAGACTAAATTGGAATTTGAAAGGGGATCGAAATAATAGGTTTTTCCATGTGGTGGCCAAGGGTAGACAATGTAAAAATGAAATAACATCCATTGCCTTTGGTGGTTTAGTGCTTGAGGAACCTAGTCAAGTGAAGGCTGCAGTGTTTGAGCACTTTAATAAGCAGTATTCTGAGGAGTGGGTGTCAAGACCTAAGTTAGGAGGCATATTCGAATCAGTGAGTAGCAGTTCATATTTTGATGTGTTAGAAACTGAGTTCTCAGAGTCAGAAATTTTGGCAGCAGTGAAGGATTGTGAAGAAAACAAGGCACCTGGCCCAGATGGTTTCAACATGTTATACTTCCAAAAAGTCTGGAAGGTGATGAAAGAGGAAGTTCTCAATTTTATGAAGGAATTCTATAGGAATGGCAGATAGTGGAGGGTTTGAATAGCTCCTTTATTGCTCTTGTCCCTAAAAAGGAAAACCCTATGGGCTTAACAGACTATAGGCCAATAAGCTTAGTAGGATCAGTATACAAGGTCCTATCAAGAAGACTCAAAGAAGTGCTACCCTGCATCATTAGTGAGACCCAATCAGCCTTTATAGGAGGGAGGAACATGCTAGATGGGGTTTTGATTGCCAATGAAATGGTGGATGAGTGGAAGAAATCCAAGAAGAAGGATGTGATCATTAAACTTGATTTTGAGAAGGCGTATGATTCAGTCAACTAGGGGTTTCTATATTCTATGTTCCTGAAGTTTGGATTTGGGTTAAGATGGGGATTATGGAGTGCCTTAGTACGACTAGAATTTCAGTACTTGTAAATGGGTCTCCAACTGAAGAGTTTAGTCCTCAAAGGGGTCTTCGTTAAGGTGATCCACTGTCCCCCTTCCTGTTCAACTTGGTTGCTGAAGGTCTCAATATGTTACTGACAAGAGCATACCAGATGAGAATTATTAAAGGTGTTCAAATTGGTGCAGATGATGTGATGTTGTCTCACCTGCAATTTGTGGATGATTCTATTCTTTTTTGTGAGGCAGAAGAAGAGAAGGTTGTAGACACCCCATTTTTTGACTGCCCTTAAGACTTGGGCACTACTGATGGTCTACTTGGTGGTGAAAGGTGTGCAGGGCAACAGTTCGATTTCTTCGGTAAGGAGAGAGTCAAATCCCAACCTCACACCCCTTTTTGGACTAAAAGGATTTTGAACAAAAAGATTTTAGACCTTAAAACCCTCTCTTTCAAAATGATTTTGCGATGTTCCGACACTCGCATTTTGTTAAATGTTGCGTTTTTCTGTAAACTGAGCAAGGACAAAGTGAAAATGAATGAAAGAGAGATGAAATCTTTGAAAAATCTTTCAAAACACCTTGTTTAGAGGCTTGGAGTTGAATAAAAGAGGAGAAGAGGGAAAAACCAAGTTGAAGAAGAATGTAGGTATGAATCGCTAAGAGAGAGTCGAGCGGTCCTCACTAAATCGGGCCTATCAGTCTATACACTTGGATTTAAGCTACGAGGCCACCACCGTTAGAAAGCTTACTTCCGAGGCTTCATTTTACACTCAAGAATCTCCTAAAACCGAGTCCAGACGGGGGAGATATGATTGGTTGAAGCTGAGCATCATTCCGGTTGGACCGAAACTGAGTGGCCTCACCAAAACATGCATAACTTTTTCACAGTTGGAATTCTGATGCAAGGTTGCCCTCATTGGAAAGCTTACTTCTGGGGATTCATTCTGGACACAAGAATGACCTGAAAAGGCATCCATATAACGGAGTTAGGCTTGCTTCAAGTCGGGAACTAGGACTGATTTTTGCTGCCGGCCTCTATGGGAGTGTGCCAGCCATGAATGGCCAATGCCAGCCCTATGCCGTCCAAAAGTGACCCATGCCGGCCATCAATGGTAAGGTGCCGGCCAACAATGGTACACTGCCGGCCACAGATGGCAGAAAGTAGCTTTGGACAGATATTTTGCTCCAGCTGTCTCTCTTGAGATATTTTTGACCAAATGCTCCATTTTTCCTATATAATGAGGTCATATCTATCATATTCAAGGGTTAGAACATTTTGGAAGAGTTTTGGGAGCCTCTCTCTCTACACCTCTCTCTCTATATTTCTCACTCTCAAGAACCTTTGTGCATAAGAGCTTGCAAGTGTAGATGCACTTCTCTTTTGCACACACATCCTTGATCAAACTTGACAACCATTGGGCTGAGATCCCTTGGAACCTATTTTAGGGTACTAAAGGTTGGTTTTGGCACAAGAAAAGGGGCTGTTCTTGTGCTGTGATTCAAAGGTAACCTCTTGTCCTTTTTAAGCTCTTTGTGCACTATTGTTTTGCCATCTTTCTACACTATTTTTGGGGTGGTTTTGAATTGAGAAAATCTCTGCTTTTCAGTCCTAAAAATGATGGTTTAAGCCTTGTTTGGCTAGGGGGTTGTCTCTCCCTTTTGCTCCTTGGCTTGTAAAGCCTTTTGAGCTATCTTTCAAGGCCTTTCAAAATAACTTTTCGTGGCCTTTTTAACCACTGAAATCTAGAGAATTTTCAGTGGTAAAAACCCTATTTTGAGGTCCCAAATAGGAGGAGGTGGTCCCCCCTCCTCTTGTCTTGTTTGCTTGTCTTGATGGCCCACTAAATGAGCATGTATTTCTACTTCTTTGTGGCTTTGTTTAGGCTCATTTTTGTGACTTTTTAGACCTTCCTTAACTCTGTTTTTGGCTGTCATGGTCACCTCTTGCATGCTTATTGCACTTGTAGTGTAATCCTATTTG